TTTAAAAAAATATAAGCAATTCATTATTCATCAAAAAAAGTTTTCTTAAGGCAATAGTGTCCATCATAGATTTTATACATAAAAACAATTAAAAGCTTTGCTAATTAAATAATATCTTAGTTTAATTACATATTTTATTTTATGAATCAGTGCAGATTTTCTGAAACTGGAGTTACTGTTTGACAAAAAAAAATTCATGATTTAAATTCTCCAAGGACTTGTCCTTATAACTAATATGAGCATTAAGCACAAAAAAGAATTTTTTGAAGTTTCCTAAATTAGATAGGTGGGTGTTAACAGATGTAAAAAAAAAAAAAAAAACTTTTAAAAAATTTATATTTCAAAAATAATTTCATAATAAGTATAATAAGTCTTGAAAATTTCATTAAAATCTGACAATTATCTGATTTTTGAAAGAATTTCCAAATTGGTATGTTTTACACAAAAAAAAAAAAAATGCTAAAATTTATCATACTAATTTATGGCAGCCTTGTGACACACACAAAAAAACAATTTTTAACCAAAAGTTCTAAAAAGAATAAAAAAAGATACCAAAAAATCCTTTTCTCTTAATAATGGCTATGATTTTTGAGAATAAAACATGTTTTCTTATTATGGTTGAGAATGGGGGTGGGGGCATTTCTTTCATCATGTATTCTGTTTTGTTTTTTTTAAGCAAATCATTGTGTGTGTTTTATATATATATATATATATATATATATATATATATATATATATATATATATATATATATATATATAATTGTCAATCATTATCTTCTGTTTTAATTCCTGTTCTTTTATTGTTCTCTCTCCTTAGTAATGTTTTTTCTTATATTCTTTCACACTCAGTAACCCTCATGGATCTTAGTGGCTTTATTGCCTTACGTGGGGAAAAAATTGCAAAGTTATGAATCCATTCTGTGAACGAAGTTCTTCCTACACAAAACTGTTATTGATGTTATAAATACTTTGATGAGGCTTTTAGAATTTTAAAAGATCTTATAAATATAAGAGGAATATTTTATAAAAACAATACATATATTTAGGCCATCTATCAGATCTAGACATTCAGTGGACTTAGAAGCTGGTTTTTAATGGATGAGAAGTGGAAGTCTTTATTGATGTGATTGTATCCTACTGCAAGATCCATTTAGCATGTATACAATTGTCTATTGGAGATGTAAGCAATTCCCTAAAGTTGTTTGGAGACATATATGTGATCATTACAACATTTAACAGAAATTGGGTTTTGAGGAGTCAACTTTCATAGAAGAGCAAGAGCCTAATTAATACAATGTTGATTAGTACCTTTACCATAATGCAGGTGTGTCAAACTGGCTGCCTGTGGGCCGCATGCAGCCATTTACACTCATCTTGGCAGCCATCACAAAGAATTCTATTCAGACATTTTTTTTCACTTTACATTTGTTCTTATTTAGTTGTCAAGGATGATCACATGATTAACCAGAAGTTAAAAATAGTCACTGATATTCAAAAGCAAAAACCATTGAGATAAAATAAACAATCTAATCATACCAATTGAAAAAAAATCTTACTGTTTTTAATAATTTGCATTAGCAACATAAACAAAATTCTCAATATAACAAGGCTATAGAAACCTTTGTGAGGGCTGCCAAGATGCATGTAAAAGGAATTTCAGCAAAGATTTTGTGATTTTTCATCTTGTGAAGATCAGTTTGCATTATTCTCGGCACCATTCACTTTTGATGTTGCTCAGGCAAAGGAAAGTCTACAGATGGAAGTACTGGAAATGCAGATTGACTCAACACTCAAGGGAAAGTACCTAAAAACAGGATTTCTCAAATTTTTTTCATACCTTCCTCAGGCATTTAAGAACTTTAGAAAGTTTGCCACAAAGATTATGGTGATGTCTGGTTCCACATGTCTGTGAGCAGTTATTTTCATTTATGAAGGCACAAAAACATCTCACAGAACCAGATTAACTGATGAACATTCATCGTCTTTGATCAAAATGGTATCTACACAGACATTCCAACCTGATATATCGAGAATAGATTGTCTAAAGAAATGTCACTCATTAATACAAGGTAAAAATGATTAAATTGTACTACCTTGTATCGTAAGTAATTTGTATTTAAAGTTTAGTTACCATTAACTGTGATTAATGTAAGACTGTAAGCAGGTGTGGCTCTCGAGGCTGCAGATATGGCAGCCCTCTATATGCCCTGAGTTTGACATGCCTGCCATAATGGATCCAATTGAGATATGTGTGAGGTTCTTGAGGACTCCCTTTTTGTTTCTGTACTACATTAATATGTGATAAACCTTACTTTTTTTAGGAGACATTTATGATTCTAGATTTCTCCCATGAGATTTAAAAATTTGTTTTAAATTCAGGAAGAGAGTATGCTATTTACAAAAGTTCAGACTCAATGTAAAGTGATGTTTTATTCTTTATCTTGTTTAGGAATTTTTTATGCTTTCTTTCTTACATTTGATTTTCTTTATTCCTTTTTTTATGCTTTCTTTACTTCTTCATGATTAAGTTTGTTTGAAAATGTTATAATGCTTTGATGTATACTGGTATGTATTGTATTTCCACAGGCATTTTCAGCTTAGTGTAGTCAGGGTTTCAGTGTGACTCAGTGTTTTTCAAACTAGAAAATATCTTCTGTTTCAGTTTCAATTGTATAATGCTATCATGATTGTTCACGTTTCTCCACATTTTAATATTGTCTGTACTGTTTTGCTTCATTAATTTTGTTTCTAATTATTCAGACACATTGATTTCTAAAGCATTAACTATTTTTTGATACTATTTTTCCAATATAATGCCCATGGTCCACTCATAGTAGAGGACTACTGAGTGAGATTGTTGTAAGAGAGAGGAAAGTAGGATTAAGTGCATATTAAGTGAACATAGGATAAATATCAGTTGACTTTGTACTTGAAGAGACCAAGATTGTAGTATTCTTGGAAGCATCCCTGTAGGAGTTTTTTCTACAAAGTAACCATTCTGGAGAACAAGCTGAGTGGAACTTAGACCTTATCAAAAGAACACAGAGGAAATGGAGGATGAGAAGTTGTGAAGGTCTGAACTGGTGGAACTAAGGAATTTAACTAGCTTGGATATCTTTTGTGGATGTGTTCAATATATGATATGTGTGATAATAGAAAAGACATCATCAGTGGACCAAAAACCACACTGCTGGTTACTCAGGTGTTTTTGTGAATTAGTTCAATTCTTAGTCTGATCTGACTGTTTTAAAGATACAGCATAGCAGCAGGAGTTAGGTGTTTTATAAAGTGATTCAAGGAACTGACAATTCTTCCAGCCTCATTTGCAATGTCACAAATATACACGTTCCATTTGAGACTGAAGTCAGCTTTAAACTCAGTAGGCGTTCAAGGTAACGAGCCTCTTTGAGAGTATGACATCATCAGTATGGATGCCGATTGAGGGTCTGCTTATTGGTGATTAAATGTTAAATATCGGTTGATCCTGAACTTGAAGAGACCAAGATTGTAGTAATCTGGGAAGCATCCTCTAGGGAGTCTTTTCAGCACACCAAGTAATGTTCTGGAGAAGATGATGAGTGGAACTTAGTCTTCATCAAAAGAACACAGAGGAAATGAAGAATGATTTACAACTGTGAGCATGACATGATTGGTCCAAGCTGTGAAGGCTTGAAATGGGAGAACTAAAGAATATTACTAGTCTGAACATCTACCATAGTAATTGCGATAGAATAGGGAGAGGTTTTCAATATTTTGTCTGTTGGATAAGGGTTGCATAGTAGAGAATAATTCATTACCCACAATCATTTTTGGACTCTATTGTGGCTGGGTAGCATCTGCTTGGGTATAGCAGCAATACTCTATTTTTGGTTTGATCTGACTATTGTAAAGAACAGATCCTGGCAGCAGGATTTAGGTATTTCATGGAGGGATTCAAGGATTTTTATGATGGATTCAATGTAGGTGCCATCACTGGCCTTGATTCCAGTTTCAGGTCATAGTTTCTGTTCTTGGAAAGTTTATCCAAAGTCCTATTTCTTGGAATACTTGATCAATGATGTTGATTTTCTGTTCAAGATTATTCTTATCTTATGTCATCAATATAGTCCCCACGCTCTCATCATCTGTACATTAGTCTTGGGAGGGAAAGCATTGTCTTTTATTCATAGACTAGCAGTAGAGTCCGGCATTACCCGGGGATGTAACAGTAAGAGATAGATCAAGTATCGACCATCATAAAGACTGAAAAATAAAATTGACAAAGATTATTGTTTAAGGTTGACGGACACACATATCTTAATTAATTTTTTTTTTTTTTATGAATTGGTCAAACCCAAGTTCAAACAAAAACATTGTTTTCAATCGTTATGAGTCTACCGATTGAATAGAATTTTATTATAAACAATTGTCTTGTAAATGGAATTTTTAAAGCAATCTGAATGTAAAAATAAAGAAAAAAGTGTGCAGGACAATAAGAAACACTACCTGCCAAAAAAAAAAGTGAAGTTTTGTTGAAATCAGTTGAAAAATGTAGGAAATCCGATCCCATATATAAATGAACACACACACACAAACAAACTGGGTTTTATAATAAGTATAACTCGATATGAGTTGTCCCCCTTTCATGCTCGCGATGCCTCTTAATCGTGTTTCCAAATTGATTTTGTGCAAAAACAATTGTGTTTTTCCAATTTTTGGCGCTGTCAGAACCACCGCAAGGTAATTTTACGTAGTCCTGTGAAGTTTTGTTGAAATCAGTTGAAAAATGTAGGAAATCCGATCCAATATATAAACGTACAGACACACACACACACACAACCTGGGTTTTATAAGAAGTATGATTTATTTGGGATGTTGTATGGAATGTTTAAATGATCAGTGCCTTATCTCTTCATATCTGTGTTTGTAAATGTGCAGGGCATAGTCTAAGAAAAAATTAAATAAACTGGGGTTCTCATTTCCTCCTTTTTGTACTCTTGATGAGATTTGAAATGTTTCTCACTGGTTTCTGTATGATCACTAAAGTTAAGCAATGACAAGCCTGGTCAGTACCTAGATGGGTGACCATTTGGGAATACCAGGTGCTGTAAGCTTGGATGTGTAATGGCTCAGAATTGTTAATCAGAGAGCCAACTTTCAATTTCTGTTGGGTTTGTTATATTCACTTTCATGAAAATACCCTTAGGAATAAATCCACCTCTTCTCCCCCCAGCTATAGGTTAATTAGTAAGTCTTGTATCAGTAAATCATTATTATCTACCCCCAAAATTCTTACAGTCTAAATTATTTTCTGGCTTTAAATAACCTGGTATGAGTTGGTAAGCTTTAGAAAGTGAACGAATGAATTGAAATGTTTCTGTATTGTGATTCAAAGTGTTTTTTGAAACCAGGACATTTCTTCTGTGCTACTTTTGATTGCATGATGTAATTTTTATGTCTCAGCTGCTGCTGCTGTCTCTGTTATGGCTGTACAGACCCACATGGGAGTGACAGTGTCAATTGCAGTGAAGATACTCTCCCCAATGTCACCTTGTTGTTTCCTTTCCATCAAGCATGCTTTTTCCTGGCAGCAAACCTTTCATTCTCCTTTTCTCGCAGCAGCCCTCAGTGTAAATCACATCTCCAGTGTGAGTGATCTTTTGATGCCTTCCCACCTCTCCATGTCCATGTTCCTTTTGCAGACATCTTTGAAGCAAAGATGGGGTCACCCTTGTACTCTCTTGGCGGTGGCCAGTCTCTTCAGAATTCTCCTATCTAGCATACAATGTACATGTCCAAGTCAGCTGAGCTGGCACTGTTGAAGAAGGACAGGGTAACTGGCCACAGGTGAGAACTATGATATATATATATATATATATATATATATAAGGCTCAAACACTAATATTCCATAGTTATAATTTATTGCATTGGAATCGCAATCCAATTCATCATTGTACATTGAACTCTACCTGGATTCTATCCTTTTCGAAATATATGCATTATATATATATATATATTGACCACTAATATTATGATATATATAAAATGAATTAAAGTTAGATTTTATTAACATTTGTTATATGTTTACTGTGTTTTAAACAACTTGTATGATATTTCACCACATTCTGCAAGTTTTTAAGCTTAACAAAAATTTTTTTTTAAGAAAATTTATACTCCCAGTTGGATAATATTTACTTTCTCTCGTATAGATTTTTCTTTTTAACCATAACCTTATTATTTCAATTTACTCTGACCTCATTTTGTTCTGAATCCAAGATTATTGTTTTTATTTTTATTTTACTTCTTTTTTTTTTTTTTAAATTTATTTTGGTGTCTGGTTTTATTTCTTTGTTTATTTGTATATAATTTTTCCCTTTTCTTTCCCTTGCAATTCATTGGTTAACTATTCGCTAACATCCCTTCCACAATCTCTACATTATTTTTTCTCTTTCCACCAACATCCGGTGTTTTATAAAGCGATCAATATTGGTAGAGTGGGGAGTTGGGGAGAGAAGGGATTAATGCTAAGAAGATGGGGGGGGGGGAATGTTAGCGATGTGTATGGCATAAAGCTTTCTATAAAAATCCAGTTACTTTATCATTATACTAGAAATACCAGTGAAAATTTCATGGTCTTTCTATTTGAATTTTCTGATCAATCTTAATTTTTTAAAGTTAATGATCAGATAACGTTCTTGCGAATTCCACGATTATAAACTACCCATGAAAATTGCATCATTAAATATTTGAACTTAACAACTTAAATAAAAAAAATATTGCAATAACCAAGTATGAATGCAGGTTATTATAAGAAGTAAGATGGTACAAATGTAAAACATATAGTTTCTAGTTAAATACCCATTTTTTCTCATTGCTATTGTTGAAAGTGTTCAAGTGATATAGTTTTTGTTATTTGCTGAAGCACTTTGTGATTTTGTTGTGTCAGTATCAGGTTTGATGAAGGATCATGAAATTATGTATTTGGTTTTTGATGTACATAAAAATTGTGATTTGAAGATACTAATATTAGTTAAAAAAAAAAATGACTAAAGCTAATTGGCTGTTGTTAAAATGTAATTAAGAAAAAAAAAATTCAAAACAAAACTATCCAAGAAAATTTTTTTAGAAATCTTTACATTTAGCTGGGGAAGTGGGAAATCAGAGTTGGTAGATTTTTAAAATACTACAGTGTATGAGAGGGAGGAGAGTTAAAATTGTTAAGAAAATCTCTTACTTAATATCCAGTCATTTTATGCATATAATATAAATTAAAAAGTTACTGCATTTTGTTTGTGTTTTTTCTCCCTTGACTTGAATATCTCAATAATAAGGAAATTATTAACAGAAAAAATAAAAGTGATGATATATTCAAACATAATGTGACGTCTTGTTAAAATGTAATAAAAATTCAAATAGAACATTAGTTTTTGTTCTTTTAAGTGATTTTAATGTAAAATTCTTTGGAAAAAATAGAAGTGAGTCATGGAAATAATTACTAGTGTTAAAAAAATACTAACAGTAAGTTAGCGTTCCAAAGGTTATTTTACTTAAGTGCGTCAGCAGATGATGCATTGATATATCACTTGCATGCTTGCTTCTATATCAGAAGTTTAAATTCAGACATTTCACTTATACACACACACACACACACTACAGTTTAAAAGTTTGAAGCCACCCTCAGAATTAGCATGGGATGAACTTGACAGAAAAGTGAGAAAAAAAAAAATGACAGAGTTCTTAGAATTTTTTATTTTTTTTTTAAAAAAAGCAGTGGAATCAATTATCAAACTTTGAGAAACATTTACAATGATTGCTAAAAATGTGTGCTGCAGTAATCAAGGCTAAAGGAAGATATTTTAACAAGAGCAAAATTTAATCATAAATTTTTTTTTTTTTTTTTTTCATTTTGTCATAATAAAATTTTTAATAAAAAAAAAATCATGTTTCACTATTTTTTTAACCATGTATAATAATTTTCTCTTTAAATTACAAAACAACTACTTTTGGGGCCAATTTAAAACATTACCAGGGTTCCTTAAAACTTTTGAACTGTAGTATGTATATATACTTGTGAGTATGTAAACATTTATGTATTCTTATTTGATTATGACGTAAGTTTTTAAACATTTATTTTATAATGTGTAATTTTGAATCTATATATATATATATATATATATATATATATATATATATATATATATATATATATATATATATAATTTCTATCAAATAGTGCCTTATAAATGCGATCCCTTCACAGATTCTTGAAAGGTGATATCTACTCAGTTTCATATCTGAACATAAAGCAATTCTAAAGAAGTTATGAATTTTTTCTTTATTAATACAACGATTTTTATCACTTCAAAAGTTATTTTAGTGTCTACCCATATTTGAGTAGACAGTCCATTATTTGGCTTTACTTGATCAATAATACACTCTGCCACTGAGTTTGGCTATAGCATGTCTGATCTAAAGACAGTTTCTCCTGCAAAGGGGGAGGGATGCAGGTTTGAGTCCTGCTGGGAAGCAGATATTTTTCTTTAATAAGATTTCTTGAATATTCAGACTGGTAGACCAAAATAACTGTATAATAAATAGAGCTTCTACTCAAATATAGGTACCCACTAAAATTGTGACAAATAATATATATAAATAATAATATCCACATTTATAGTGATAAAATCTGTCAGATTATTAAATAAAGAATCCATTACTACTTTAGAATTACAAGTATGTGTAGATCTGTACAGGGGGCGATGGGTAAATTGTCGCTATATTTTTAATTTCATGCATGTGTGTTAGTTTTTTATTTTGTTGACTGCACAGTATAGTAGGGTCAGCTAGGAATTGTACTGCTTGGTGTGTGTGTATATATATATATATATATGCTGTGTGTGTGAGAATATAGACGTGTGAGAGAGTATATACATTGTGTGTTTGTGTATATATATATATATATATATATATATATACGCACACACAATTTTTGATTGTTTTTATTTTTTCTTATTTTATATAAGATGTATATGGATGCACATTTATATTGGTATTTTTATATGCATATAGTTGTGCACAGGTTCAGTCAGTTATGTGCCATGCATGATACATGCTTAGGCAACCATGTATCTTTCGATACGTGACTGACAAGGCAGATTTTTTTCTCGCAGTAGGTTATCATTTCTTTCTGCAAGGCTATAGAACCCGGTCTGTCCTGCTATTTACCCATAGCTGGGGGAAGAAGGAAAGGATTCATACCTTTCCCAAGGGTATTAGCACATAAGTGAATGTAATGGATTCGACTGGAATTCAAACTCGGCTCTCTGAGATTAATATGTAAATATAAAATGTAATAAAATATTTGTATCTACCTATGTATATCTATGTGAATGTATATATTTATATATGTGAATGATATTTGTGTATACATTTGTATTATATTTGAAAACAGATATGTACATTTGTATTTAAGTTTTTATTTTTTCTTTGTAAATAGACTGCTCCAGTGTCATAACAGTATCGCATAAATGTCAATATTAAAATTTAACAATGGTCAGTTTTCAATCAGTACCTTCATGCCTTCTGCCTTCATGCATGGAACTTAAAGTTGTGTCTCCAGTGAGGAACAAAATTTATATTTATTATTAGTATAAATTTTAGCTCTGTTATTAAACATCGAGCACAGTTTTATAATATTTGCTTTAGCTTGATAAAACCAACCAACAAAATGTGACATTAGTTTTTATAACATCTCAATACACAATCTGCATTCTTCTCTGTGCTCTCTCTTTTCAGGATGTGGGTGATCATAGCTCTCCATGATTACTTATCCTTTGTAGTGCTTAGCAAGGTCTTCATCCTCCCTGCCTATTCTGCTGTCCACTTACACATACTCGTTAAGTAGGTTACACACAATTTCCTTCATGTCTTCAATATATTATGTAAGTGTCAAATTCTCAAAGCCTGCCTTCCTTTATGTGTCCAAGGAAATGCTTTCTGTACTTTTCATTTCCATTTTTCTTCCTTGTTACTTACATGGTATTCTCATCATCCTTCTGTAGAACCACATTATATACATATAGATACACAAGTCTCTTCATCTGTGAAGAGATTG